GGCAGATCATGTCGGAGTCCAAGTTCGGATCATCCTAGTTGATACTTCTAGCACAACATGTGTGAGGACCGTTGTATATCGTTAGTTCCCATATATTGTTTTCCCTCTTCCTCTTCGATACGCGAACCATCCAATTACATCCGTTATCATGTTGGACATAGTGGAAGACGTACTTTTGGTGGTAGAGCGGTCGACTCTGGACTGAATAGAATTATGAATGTTGTAATTCTTAATTGCCATCATCGTTTCTTCTTTGCATGAAAACTCCATTCTTTTATAACTCATCATCATTGACTGATGAGTTAAATCCATAGTCACTAACATTAGGAATATCCGTAAATTTTGGCCCGTATATTGCACTATAGTCAGCTTCATACATGTGTGCTGGAGGTTCAGTATGTACCGTATTTGTGGGAACTTCATCTATATCATCATCATCAGAGTCTATGTTGAACTGCGGTGATTCTGGGTGAACTAATAGTCCAGTCTCAGCACCATCCTCACCTGGCTCATGAAAAGGTTCTTCTGGTGGAGATGAGGGCTCCTCCACGCTGTCAACATTTAGGTCGAACAAGCTGGTAGTTATATGCCTTCCCCTTGAACTTGAAGGCATCTTGACATTGAGGTTGAAAATGCTCGTAGTTGAATGCCTCCCCCTGGATCTTGAAGGCATCGTGTCAAATGGGTACTGCACAGATTGCTGCGTCGAGGGCATCTCCATATCCAGGTCAAAGAAATTGGCAGATGAATGTATTCCCCTTGAACTAGACTTGATGTTGCCATACATATTATTTGTGGAGCCACCTCGGTACAGATCGTAAGAAGTTGTTGATGAATGTCTCCCTATTAAACTTGATGGGATGACACCAAATCATTACACATTACTATAGTTGGGTTGTCAACTTGATGAGCCTGCTGAGCCAGTCCATAGTGAGATCATAATGACATACCACGAACAACATGCACTTTAACAAATTTCACATACATCTCAGTATCGACGGTTGAATAATGATATTGAGAATCAACCATCATTGTAACATTGTCATCGTTCGATAGTTTGAACGTTGTATAAGTTAATGGAAACACTGATGTTGGAAATCTCTACAGAAGTAAGGACAATCTTCTTGTACTTCCAACATGAACCTTCCTTGAAATCTTCGTTATCAGCTCCTCAAGAGTTATGTTTCTCTTGAAGGATATTTTGACAGAATGATTTGATGCGAACACGACGACGGTTTCATCTTCCCAAATTTCTCCATCATAATAAACAATAGTTGAAATACATGTCATTCTGAAAGTTTGAAAGATTGAGAGTCTTATATCTACAAAAACAATAGCTGAAATATGCCTAATTAAATAAATTGTATATGAATTAAAATATAACCTAATAAAATTTTTAAATTATTAACAATAATTTAAATAATATGATTTTATATTGTTACCATATTGGAAAAAATGTTACCATATTGGAAAAAATGTCTCGACGTATGATCTCACTTTCCAATTTTACAACTGCAAAAAATAATAGAAAATAATTAGTATGATAATTTTTTTCAAATAATCATATATAAAATAAATATAATATATTTAAAAAATTACCTTACAACAAAAGATCTAAGGAACTGGTGAAGCAAATATAGGAGGAATTGATGTGGTGATATTTACGGTTGAAGGGTGTGTTATTTGTAGGCGATAGGAGAGTTTAAAGGTCGAGAAATTCGAAACCAATAATGAAAGTTGCGAATCACCATCAGTGCCTTACTGGTGCTTGTCAAAATCTCACAAAGGCACAAATGATGATCCGCACATTTCCCTTACGTGGTGCCAACTCGTCAGAAAGGGTGCTAGATCGATACAAATTTTTCAAAACGATGTCTGACAGGTAATTAATTCTTGTCAGGCTGATCTTTGTAAAAATGCCAATATTTTTACTCTTTTCGATTAAATAGAATAAAAACATGTTCATTTGAAAGTGTTTTTTTTAATGAGTGTGTACTATTTTCTAAAAGTAATTTTTAATTAAAATGGTTATTTTAATCATAATATTAATGTCAAATGAGTAAAAAATATTTTTTTATTAATTTTAATATTTTATTTTAATTATTTATAAATAAATAAATTTATGATTTTATATATTAAAATATTAATAATGAGTTATATAAGGTATATTTTTATTATAATTATATTTTTATATTTTTATTATAGTTTAAATTGATATAATTTATAATAATATTTTTTTGAATATTTATTATAGTTTATATTAATATATTCATATAAGTGTAATGTAATTTAATTGATATATTTTTAATTTATAACGTAATGTTTATAATCAGTGGCAGAACATTGTGGGGTAGACCCAACAAATAATTTTTAAATATTAATTAATATTAAAAACTATTTTTTGCACAAACCAATTTACTTTAGTGGTTAAAGGCATCATTATTGTTTCTAGAGGTCATGAGTTCGAGCACCGACGATTGTAGCGGGGTAGAAGAATGTTCACTGTCAAATGATTGATAATATTTATAGTATATAATACTTTGGAATCACCTTAACTTAATATATATATATATATATATAATAAATAAAGAAAAAATTATCAGCCCCGAATTTAAAAAAAATTATATTTATGAAAAATAAAAAATATTTTAACCTTACTATAAAAACAATGCTTATAATAAATATTTTATCTTTTAAAACTCACTTTTAATCATAATTACAAACAATTAAGTTTTAAATTGTACTGTTGTACAACACTTTTAAAATTTTATTTCTACCACACTTTTAAAAATAAATTTTCAAAAGCTATACCAAACTGACACTAAGACGTCATCATCGAAACATATATTTTATTTATATGATTAAAAGGAAATTATTTTTTTTATTTTTTAAATATTATTCTTTTAAGTAATTTTAAAATAGATATTCTCTTTATAAATTAACCTCGATTTTAAGGCGTTTTTACCCATAAATCACCCTGACATATTTTAATTACCTATCAAGCATCGTTTCAAAAACTTTTATCGATCTAGCATCATTTGCAGAAAGGAGCGAATAATCATCCGCTCTTTACCCTGACGTGGCGTCAACTCGGATAAAGCGCGAGTGATGGTTCGCGCCTTGCTGGGATGGGTGCTAGATCCGTAAAATTTTCTAAAATAGTACATGACATGAAATTAATTTCTGTTAGAGTAATTTTTGTGTAAAAACGCCACGGAATATTAAAGAAGTAATTATGTTATGTTTGTTGCAAAAATAAGATAAAAATTAATTAACCAATCATTCTTATTTCATATATTCTGAAAAATTAAATCCTATAACCATAAAAAAAATCACTTGTCTTTCACACATCATTTTCTTTAAATAATTATTTTTTAAATAAAATTTTTCATTAAATCTTGGAAATAAGATAATAAAATATCTTTTTTTTCTTCAATAATAATAATAATAATAATAATGAAAAATAATGCCAATAAACTTTGTCTCGCCTCTTGATTTTGTCGTTATTTAACCAAGCTTTTTGTGTTGAATATGTTTTTAAATTTAATTGAACTTCAAAGTTATTCTTATATACGCTGAGATAATATATATATATATATATATATATATATATATATATATCGAGTATAAAATTCTTATAAATCTATATTTTAATATGTTTCTGATACGCTGATTGAATGAATAATTAGTTAATTCTTATAAACTACTGCTGGTTTAAGGGGATGACGCACATTTAAAGATTCGCTAGCATGAACTCATTAAATTTTTATTAATGTGTAATGTCAGTAAAAGAATACAAATTAATGACTCAATTATCAAAATAAAATGAATTAAAAAATATATTAATAAAAAATAATGTTTTAAAAAATCAATGATGAAAAACTCAATTATCAAGGTCAATGTTAGTCTTGTATAGGGTAAACATTAATAGTTTATTGGTTAAATAATGATAAAATCAAAACACGAGACAAATTTATGGGAACTATTTTTCATTGTTATTATTATTATTATTGAAGAAAAAATGTATTTATTATCTTATTTTCAGGATTTAATGAAAAAAATTTATTATAAAAAGAAAAAAAAATTATTTGAAGAAAATGATAAGTGTGAAAGATACATTACTTTCTTGATGATCATATGACTTAATTTTTCAGAAGATAGGAAATGAAAATGATTGACTAATTAAATTTTATCTTTTTAAAAAAAAAACAAAACAAAGCTAATCTCTTAATATTTTATGGTGTTTTTATACAAAAATCACCATAACAGAAAATAATTATTTTATAAACACTATTTTTAAAAAAATTACAGATCTAATACCCATCCCAAAAAGACATAAATCATCTTCCGTATTTTATATGAGTTGACGTCACGTTAAAATAAGATACGTTTTTCTAAAAACAATACTAAATAGGTAAAAAAAAATTAAAACAGTGCATGACAAATAATTAAAAAGTTGATTTTTTTGGTAAAATCGTCCATTTTAACACATTTTTATAGGTAAATTTTAACTTTGACCTTCCTGAAAAAGCTTAGTTTTGAGTTGGGATAAATCTTTTATATATATATATATATATATATATATATATGTATGTATGAGATAATATCTTGTTAGATAACGTAAAATTATTTTAATTTTATATAGATTTAAAATTATTAAATTAATGAAATTAGATAATTAAATTTAAAAATTAAAAATATAAAGATATTTAATGAAAATAAAGAAGGATCGAATCTCAACTATATATAATTCCGGTGATATTCGCCAATGGAGGTTGGCACGTCATCGATACTAAGGAGGGGGGTTTAATATCTCATCATTACTGTCCATGTACGATAAGAGATCATCCACACAAAAAAATAAAGAAAAGGGTTTCTCAAAATAGAAAATGAAAAAGAAATTGAAATGAAGTTTATCTTTGTTTGGATTTTCATTTATATATTCCCATCCCCAACCATCTCTTTTAACTTTTTATAGGCAAAATGTTCATTGATAGGGTCTCTCTTTAGCTATAAAGGGAAGGTAAATAGTTAAACCATTCCTTTCTTGAACCAGCACCAAATTACTCTCACAAATTAATTAAAATCTTCTCCAGTTGTTAGGCTTTTTGGTCTCTTTTGCCGGTCCTAACTTGCAGCTCTTCCTTTTGTAAGGTAAAATTTATGAAAATAAACCCACAAATTTTAGACTTTCGTGTGCTTCTTTTTGCATGTCAATGAGCTAAGATTGGTCGGTATTTGTTACTCCTTTTCCCCTTTTGTTGTTGTTGCTTCATTCAGCTGGATCTGGGCACGCACGGTTTTCTTCTTCCACAGTTCGACTAGGGTTTTCATCTTAAAATTCCCTATGAAAACCCCACTTATATTCTTTCCTTTTTTTTTTGAGTAATTTTATCTACTATCGATGTATAATACCAGTATTTTTATGTACTATGGAGGAAATAGTTAATAAAAATGGCAAGGGAGAAGATCAAGATCAAGAAGATCGACAACTTGACGGCGAGGCAAGTGACCTTCTCAAAGAGAAGGCGAGGGCTGTTCAAGAAAGCTGAAGAGCTTTCGGTTCTTTGCGATGCTGATGTTGCTCTCATCATTTTCTCAGCCACCGGAAAACTATTCGAGTTTGCTAGCTCCAGGTATATATATAGTATTAACCCTCTCTTCTTTTAGATCGTACGGATTGATATTTCAAAGCAAGAATCAACCCTTTGAAGAAGAAAAGGAATATCTATTTAAGAGTTTCTTCAGAAGGAAAGATGCCAATGAAATTAGAAATTTGCAAACTGTACGTTCTAGTATTTCTCCATAGATCATTGAAGCTGCTGTCTTGTCCTTGAAGAGCTTCTAACCTTATTTGTCGGTATTAGCCGTCGTGTAGGAGAAAATACTGACCTTTTTCTTCGTGGAATAACAATATTTAACTTTGAATGTTGCAAATTTCTATATTAATTTTGTTTTATTCCATAAAGGAGCTCTCTCCTTTGATTTGATATCCTTGCACGAAACAAGTTAATTAAATATGTGGTTAAAAAATGATTATTATTCTTAGAGATTTTAAGTTCGACACTTGTGAACGATAATTATTAAATGATTAAATTTTTTTCGAACATATATTATTTTATTATAAAATTAAAATCCTCACTACTTCAGGTCTCTCTTGGATAATTTTGATGCCTTGCTGTTTACCATTCTCATATGGGTTCCTAGGAATCTCTGTGTAAACTTGGATATTTCAATACGTTTTATCTGTTAAAGATAGAAAGGTGCCATTAATTGAATCAAACACAATAACGTATCCATTCATATATTGTTTTTTTTCTTCTTCTTTCTTTTTGCATCTATACCTGAAGATCTGTCAACCACATATATAGAATGAGATTCATTAGTTGGCCGAATGATCAATGATACTCATTTGTTCCATCTTATGTGGGTTCGAATCCAAATACTTGTCATAAAAGTGTAATATCTCACAACTTAATAAAAAACACAGATTTAATACATAATATAGAAGAAAGAGTTGAAATAACAATAATGATAAAAGAAAATTTAGAGATAGACTAGGAATTTACTGTACAACAAGTTTAACATCAGATGATGTCATTGTTGTTGCAATGTTTTAGAGCCAGCCAAGAATTTAAACACACTTAAGTGTCTAATAACCTATGATTTAGTAATTGGGATATTATTAGTAATCTCTATTAACAAAGGCTGGGTGATAATGGTCTTCTAGGGCTGAAGGATTAATATTTTCTACAGTTATGATCACTCTAAACTTTATAAATGAAAGTATATTAATTGCCAGAAAATTTAATTAAAATATTATTGATGTGCAAATAATTTCAGTTAATATTGTTTAATTTCATGTTATTTGGTCTTAATTGAACAGTAATGTTGTTCGAGTAATTTTATCATTCTGTTTTTTTTTTCATGAGAAGTATGGAAGATATTTTGCGAAGATATAGTTTGCACTCTCACAAGCTCAACAAATTGGATCAACCTTCTCTTGAACTACAGGTATTTAATTATTATTACTTTTTTGTTTGATTATAGGTATTTAATTATTAAGTTGTTCAATATCGAGTTTCGAATATGAATATGTATTTGATATTGTATTAGTTTTTTCATTATTTTTTTGGAAAAATATATTTTTAATCCATTTTTGAATCATAGCTGGAAAACAGTACTAACGTACGATTGGGCAAGGAAATTGCAGCTAAGACCCAGGAATTAAGGTGAGTAATATTCACTATTTTTTGAACTGTTGTTGGAGGGTGTTTGAGTGATATTTGTTATTTCTTGGGAGTTAAATTAATTTACTTTCGGAATTATTTAAATTGTTTGGTCCGTTGACAAAACTAAGAAACCTGACAACGACTAAAATCTATTAACTAGGAGTTGTATTTAATTATCTTGTCAGTTTACAGACAGCCATCATAATCATAAGTTTTACATAACCACGAAAAAAAATCAATACATAAGCCTCTAGAGCCCTGAAGTACCGGGGCTTTCGAACACTCCCTCCCTCTCTTGAACACAATCTGTTTACTTTACTTTTATATTATCCTTCTTTATTCATTGCTAATATTATCGGTCAATCACGATCGATTATCCGTTACAGCTCTCTGTCCAAATCAGAAAGGATGAACCGTCCAAAGCCGACATAATCCCTCTATTGACATCAACAATAGTAATAATTTAAATCCACTATTTAACAGGCAGATGAGAGGGGAAGATCTTCAAGGATTGAACATTGACGAATTGCAGAAACTAGAGATGCTGTTGGAATCTGGACTTAAACGCATTATCCATACTAAGGTTCATATATATATACACAGGCATGTTCATTGATTTTATTTAAACAGTTTGGTAACTTGGATTTAATTTTTGTTAGGACGATCGTATTACAAACGAGATCTCTTGTCTTGAAAACAAGGTTAGTAATAGCTTTCGAAATCAGAGGCTTTAATAGAATTGCAATGCAATCGTAAAGTCGTGAATCTATGGTTTATTAATGCAGGGAGCTATGTTATTGGAAGAGAACAAGCAACTTAAACAAAAAGTATGTACTTGGCGGTTCAAATTTTGCACGTAATTATTTATATTAACAAGAAAATGAGTTGAGAAATGTGGGAATTTTGGTATTCAGATGGCGGCGATGTGTAAAGGAAAAACAACAGACATTGTGGCTGGGGAAGAAGGCATGTCATCGGAATCTGTTACAAATAATGTTTGCAGTTGTAGTAGCAGTTGCCCTCCATTGGAGGATGATAGCTCTGATACTTCTCTCAAACTAGGGTAAGTGTTTACATATATCCATTCAACATTATCTATCTGATTTGATAAGATCGAATGGTTGTAAATCAAACTTAGATTAAGATTTTTTTTCAACTTCGAATTAGTCTAAACACAAATACATTACGCTCTAAGAAAATATCACATGCTGACAGGGATATACTGAGAGGGTACAGGTGGGGTAGTCGTCCTTGAAAATTTAAAACTATCATATATTTTAGAATTTTTTATTTATCTTTCATTTAAAATTATTTTTTCTTCGTAGAATTTTATAAATTCGTCTCGTAAAATTTTAGAGGTTTGCCTTTCTTAGCATAAATTTATGAGTCCATCCTAGCATGGTAAAACATGCTTTTAACAAATTTTATGTTAGTGGGAGAACATGATCTTAGGGGAGGAACTTGAACTTATAAATTTTAGGGGGCGAAAACAAATTTTTAATAGTTTTAAATTTTCAGAGGAACTACTCTTACCTGCCTCAATTGGTCTATACCTGATTATATCATTTTTACCCTTATAGAATTATGATAAATTATTAAGCTTATCATTTCCTTTTTGCAGGCTTCCCTTCACTTAGTTGAAACAGATGAGAAGAGATGAAGTAAAGTGAATAATTAGTTGAACACTTGCAAAAATATTCCTAAAATGCATGAAGCATGAATGGAAGGTGGAATTTTAGTTGGGAAATAATTGAATCTTGGATTATTTAAACTCTGCGTTATCCTTTGAACTGGTAAAACACTTGGGTCCTATGACTGGGTTTAATAATTACATCTTTTGGTTGGTACAAGTAAATTATTACACTTGTTTTTCAGACAATTTTGGCCTTCTCATTTCTTCTGCTTTGCGTTATTTAATGTTATGCAATTTGCATGAGCATTGAACATGTCAAGAATGTTAGATGAATTAAAATTTTAGATGAACTTTTCATTGTTTCATTTATAAAAATTATTTTATTATTCTGTTTACGGCATCCTAAAACTCTGCATATGAATTTTGCGTTCCTGAGCTTCTCAGTACAAATGAAACTTTTCGATTAATATGGGATTAAAACGTTTATTTCTAAAAAATAAGTAAAAATATATCTTCTGCAGGAGATTCAGATATTATATTTACTAATTATTTAAGGAAAAATAGGGGATTAAAAGCGATTAGAATTCGGGTTCCATGGCTTCAGCGGGAATTGAAACAAAACATACTACTCCAAGGCTGGGAGATATTTTGTGTTCTATGGTAAGAATGTTTCGGAATCGATAAAATTCATGCATTTCTTTGCATGTGCCCATATTTCCGGTATTACACCAAAAGAAAAAATAGCTACATTATTTCAGAACGCAAAAGATACGTTATTATTATTATTATTTTTGGGTAAACAACGTGTTTAGTCAGTCAAGAAGATGGGGATCAGTTGTGTGCATAAACGAGGATACGCGCAAAAGAAATTGATTCAATGAAGCGAACGTTTTGGTGTCTATTCAAAAGGATTCAATATTCCTAATAGAATGACCATTAACATTAACGGAAATGGCTCTTCGATCAAATTGAGTGTCGAGTAGTTCGAAAATGAGACGATCTTCATTGATGGTAGGACCCCGTTCGGTGATGAAGGAGGGATTGACCAAAACAAACTGGTTAGTGATACAGACACGCCGGACTCCACTTGGTGAGGTTAAACTTGCACTTTGATTGTAGGACTTAGGAAGGCATCAAGTGTTTCTGCAATAAAAAGGCTCAAGAAAATGGTTATGTACAAATGAATAAAAATGGAAAGATGCAAATGGCAGCGAAATAGATGATGATGATGATACGTTTGTGAGGATTTAGAGAAGTATTTGTATGGTAGAATGGTTGTACGGAGATAGAAGAAAGAAGTATGAAAATGGTAGTGAGGATGAAGGTTGTATCACAAGTAACAAAAGAATCAAACTAAGCTATATTATAGCTTAACCCTAGACCTTATATAATCTTGAGGGGTGATGTTTTAGGACTTTGACCCTTTAAGTATATTAAACCAAAAGAACTAGAAGTATCAGGGTGGATAGAAGGATAGGAGACACCACAAGCCCAATTGCACTTGATAAGTTGATAAAGTTCAAAAAGAACTATGAAAGAGAGAATAATCTCACAAATATTTTCATTGAACAAAGTTGGTTTACAAATGAAATGCTAAAGCTATTTATAAGCTTTAGGATGCCTAGGATACAAAAGCATTATAATGTGAGCATAAGATTTTTAATGAATTAAAATTCATGGATAAATGTTCATCCTCTCTAAAGATGCAATGCACGCCTAGTGTGAACAAATATGGTGCATTGGATGAATGTGAATTCATCCTTTAATGAATTAATCCCCTTTTGGCCGTATGCTTCCCCTTGGTGTGAACATGTTGATTTATCTTCTTTGGATGAACGTTCATGAATGTATCTTGGCTGAAATTCATCTCCCCTTGTGTGAACAAGACCATTCGACTTCTTGCATGAATAGGCATGCATGGATGAACTAAAAAACCTTTGAATGAAACCTTACACCTTCTCATAAATGTGTTGGTTCATTCGAATAGTCTTTTCTAGTTCGTTTAAGTCTCCATTAATGCTTCCGATTCCAAAGTTCTTTGAAGGAGATGAATGGTTGTAAATCCCGTATGAGTTTCTAATATGCACTATGTTCAGTAATTTGAACATATATCAAGCTTCCGATGTCGGATTGATGCGATTTAAAGTTCGTTGAAAAGATAAAAGATAGGGTATTAAAATTAAACAAGACTTAATGAGCAAAAGTTGCTTGGAACTAGTTCAAAAATGGCTCGTAATCTGACTAATGTGAACTGTCTTCTTGAATTAATATGTTCACATTGTGCACCTTGAATGTGTTCAGCTTCTTTTAGTCTTCCAACTATTATCCATCCAATTTAAACTCCTCTTCATCTCATTCAACTAATATTTGAGATCCATTAAGCTCCCATAATATAAGTGAGCTAGCATGGCACCTTTTTGAGCTCACATGAGTTGCCAAAGCTTGTAATTTCGATCCATGAGCTGTCATAAGTTGCCATAGCTTCCAATGTACCTAGCAAAACATATAAACAAGAATTTATATAGGATTTGAGCTAGGGTAATTGTAGGTTATGAATGCAATTTTGCTAGGATTAAATGCAAAACATGGCATAAGCATTATATAAGCTAAGTATAAGATATGTGTATGCATGAAGTGAACTAAGGATGAATGCATGAGCTAATATAACCATGACATATACTGAAGTAAATATTTAATGTGAATGAACAACATAAAGTTTGCAAGTATTCAAGCATGATCTAAATGGTAAAGCTCATGTAATGCATATAGAAGTAAATAAGTAATGTAATAAGGTAAAACTCCCTTAGAATCATCATTATAAAGCGTCCATGATGTGAGCATGTGTTGAAGAAGTTTGGCCCTAGACATGATCACATCACCCCCTTCTTTAAGACGATTTGTCCCCAAATCAATGCTTGGTACATAAGGGAACAACTTTGATCTTTTTTATGCCTAGAATTCTTTCATGATCATATTGCACTATTTTCTATACTAAAAATGCTTCACACGTTCTATCCTCTGCCTTTGAATCATCAATCTAAAAAATAAAGAAAAATTAGAAGTAGATAAAAAGAAATTGAAAGGGCAAATTTATTAATGAACAAATTTGGATATTTAAAGTTTATGTTATTTTCCTTTAAAAAAATAAAAATAAATAAAGTTTAGTTTCTTTGAAACTTCCCATTCATAAAGTTCATTGAATTTCAAATATGGGATGAATGTACTTGGAAAGTTCATGAACATTTCTCTTGTAATTTCAAGTGGCATACCTTTTAGAATTTCAAAAGATACTTTGCTTGATTCATCTCGTATGTCTCTTGGAATCACTTGCAAATCAAAAGAAAGAGTAGGAAGGAATATTGGTTAGTAGAAAATGAACTTTCCAACTTTTCACATTCCTTTCTCTCACTCTCATATTTTGTTTTGAATTTTGTCTTCAATCTCACACACATTTTGAATTCTTTCTTTGTAATCTTGTTCTTTTTGAATTCCATTATCACACTCATGCTTTTCAATATGCTCACTCTCTATCTTTTCAATGCTTTCATTTTCATTTTCAATCACTGCAATGATTTTTTCACAGGATATATCTTTTTCACTTGGTATGATGGAATTGGTACCAACGTGACTCTTTTTTTCCATGGATGAATGAATAATGATTTAAGAACCCATCATAAGTGGCTCTTTTGTCAAATTGCCACGGTCTTCTAAAAAACAAATGAGTTGTGCTCATCAGAACTACATCACAAAGAACCTCTTCCTTATACTTTCTAATGGAAAACAATACCATCACTTGTTGAGTAATGACAATCTCATCGTCATTAAACCATTTCAATTCACATGGATCCAGATGTTTCATCATCTTTAAGCCCAATTTTTGCATTGAGTGTACTGCAAGGTTGGTACAACTCTTACTATCAATGATCACGTGGAAAACTTTACCATCACAAGGCATCTAGTGTGAAATCCACTTTCCCTTTTTGCTCGTACTCCATTGATTGAGAATATAATGGATCAAGTGACATGATTAGTGAATTAAAATGAATTAAAATGTGAAAATAGGACCTTACCAAATTCACACAATCAAAATCTCACGATCACACTAAAAAAATGATGTCACACCAAAAACTGATATCACACGCTCCTTATGTTTTTTCCTAATCGTTTCTCTCTTGTTAAGTTCTGATAAAATTAACTCATGATTTTACAAATGAAGTGCTCAGGCATTTGCTACAAAATGATGTTAGGTAGGAAGAAAAGAGAAAATAAATGGTAACAGGTAAAAGGTTGGCTTAGAAAAAAACAAACAAAGAAAGAAATGATCGAATGAAAGGGGTTCTTATTACAAGACACTTACAACCTTTCCTAGCCACAATCAAAGTCTTAAAAATGGCTTCATGATTGCTTGCAATTGTTGTTGTATGAACACTATTTACTTTTACTTGCTTTTTCTTTTCTTTTGATCTTTCTGTTTCTTTTACTTTGAAGATGACAAACTTTTGCTTTGCTAATTTTCTTCTTTTTGATTTTTTATTAGCTCGAACAAAATTTCAATACTTGCTTTCCCCTTGGCTCTAAATACCATATGATACAAGACACGCCCTACCCCACTTGGTGCGGTAAGACTTGTACTTTGATTGTAGGACATAGTAAGGTAGCAAGTGTTCCTACAATAAGAAGGCTCAACAAAAAGGTTAAGTGAAAATGAATAAAAATAGAATGATGGAAATGAAAACGAAATAGATGATGATGACGAAACATTTTTAAGGATTTAGAGAAGTATTTGTATGGTGGAATGGTGGTACAAATATAGAAGAAAGAAGTATGGAAATGGTAGTGGAGGATGAAGGTTGTATCTCATGTAACAAAGGAATCAAACTAATCTATATTAAACCTTAACCCTAAACCTTATAGAAACTTGAGGGGTGGCGTTTTAGGACTTTGAACATTTATGTATATTAAACCAAAAGAACTAGACGTATCAGGCTGGATAGAAGTATAGGTGACGCCACAAGCAAAAATTGCATTTGATAAAGTTCTAAAAGAACTTTAAAAGACAGAATAATCTTACAAATATTTTCATTGAACAAAGTTGGTTTACAAATAAAATGCTAAAGCTATTTATAAGCTTTAATATGCCCAGGATATAAAGAA